ATCACCATTGTCATCACCACGACCGCAGTCATCATAATCATCACCATCATTAATGTTAACATCACATCTACTTATTTCATATCTTTTTGTGAATTTGTGCGATTTCAAAGTCAGAATATTTTTAATGATAGACTATCATAAATATCATAATAAATACTAACTAGTAATTAATAAATAATAATAGATAATTGATGATAAGTAGATAATAATAAAAGAATAATAATAAATAAATAATAAGTAAATAATGATAAATAAATAATAATAAATAAATAAATAATAAAGAAATAATAAAAAATAAATAATAATAAATAAATAATAAATAAGAATAATAAATAAATAATAACAATAACGGGACAAATTCGTACATTTTGAACATTTAAATGACCATAATGCGCCTTGGAAGAAAATTTAATGTAATACACGCTGAAGTCAATTCACAGATTTCCCCCCCCCAAAAAAAGAAAAAAAAAAAAAAAAGAAAAAAAAAAAATCACAGAGAACGCAAGAGGAAATCTTGATAAAAAAATGTTCACTTTGAACTTCTTAATTAACTTAATGAGCGTAGATGAAAGCTTAAGGAAATGTTACGCGAAGTTAATGTTTTTTTCACTTTTTTTCAGAACGTTATCACAGCATAGATACGAAAATGAAGGGAAATCCGCTGTCTTTAGAAGAGGTAAGGTTTTTTCTTTGTTTTTTATGTTGTTTTTGTTTTGTTTTTTTGTTTTTGTCTGAATGTCTGTCTGCCTTTCTTTGTTATTCATTGTTCTTTTTGTGGTTTTATTTCCCTGTCACTTGTGTTTTTTTTCTGTTTGTTTATTTTTCCTTCTTTTTTTCTTTCTCTCTCCTTTTCCCTCTTCCCTCTCCGTCTCCCTCCGTCCCTCCCTTCCAACTTCTCCCACTCCCTCCCTTTATTTATTTATCTATCTATTTATTTATTTATAATATTTATTTCAATATCACCCTTTCATTTGACAAAAAAAAAAAAAAAAAAAAATCCGCACTATGTTATTATTACCATGAGATTAACATTTTTTTTTATATCTCTCTCTGCAGATGATCCTGATGACAATATACTCGTGATGAATGACGTAATGGAAGTTCTTACGTCATCAGTCGGAGAGTCACGTGCTCTGGGACAACGGTGACGTATTGGTGACGTGGCGTACGTCTTGGGCGATGTACGTTTTATCCGTCTGCGATGTGTATTTGTATTATGAGTTTGGGATGTACACATGTGATATCCGGTTGTGGATGTACGTCCGTGATATCAGTTAGTGATGTACATTCGTGAGGTTATGATGTTAGTCTGTGATGTACACCGATTATGTCATTTTGCGATGTACATCCTTGATATCTGAGATGTACAGTACATTCATGATGTTTGTCTAGGATCTACATTCATATCATCAGTCTGAGATGTACACTCATGGTATCAGTTTGTGATGTACACCCATATTATACGTCTGGGATGTACACTCATGATATCTATCTGCAGTGTACACCCTTCGATAGATTCAGTGCGTTTCTGCTTGACAAACCGCTGTTAATCGATACATTTCTGGTCGCTGTACATTTACCCAGTCATATGTACATTGTCAGTGGTGTACATCTTCCCGAAACCAAGTGAAAAGAGTTACTGTACATCTTTGTTCGGTTTCGACTACCAATCGTTTTGAGTTATAAAAGCAACTTGTTAGCGATAAAAATGTGAAATTCTGAAAATAGATGAAAATTAATTAAAAACTTCAACTCAAGTGGTGAACAGTGACAGCAAAGGACGCAAAGGTTAAATCATTGGATAAAGAAATTAATTACTTACACTAATAGGGAAAAAAAACAACGCGCCTGGCAGTGCAGTTCCTTACTCCTGTACGATAACCTCACCCCCACGTATTGTCTACTAAAGCTGCTATATCAAAATACTCCAAAAAAACAACATGAAAAAAAACTGTCTACCCTCTTAACCTGTGAAAAAAATGCCGTACAAACAACAGTGAAACTTTAACCAAAATTACAGAAAATTGAAGAAAACAAATAAACAATGACTTTGCCCTTGACCAAAAACACAAAGGAAGAAAAAGAAAAAAAAGAAACGTATATAAGATTTTTCCTGTGTACTACAAGTTCGCAGTGTCTAAGTAGAGAGGGCTGTTAACACGAGAGCCGCAGAGAGAGACTCCAGAAACTCAAGCTTAAAGTGAAGTGACGCAAAAAAGATGACACTGAACATTTTGGTAGAAAAAAACAAAGTCTTTTTGTTGTGAGAGTTTTCGGATTTTATTTTTATTGTTGTTATTTTATTATTATTATTATAATTATTGTTTTGTTGTTATTATCATTGCTAAAATAGTGTTACGATCTATTATTATCATTGATTATTATTAGTGTTTGAATTGAAAAAAGTTAGATCATGAACACTGATAAAAAATAAATAACAATGAAAAACAACAGTAAACATAAACACTGCTCAACTGTTTTTTTTTTTTGTTTTTTTTTAAGTAAAGTTTTTGGTTTTGGATTTTTTTCTTAGGAGATATCTTAACGGGGAAAAGGGTTTATTATTACTATTTTTGTTTTTGTTTTTTGAATACGTGGAAATCGTAAATAAATATCTGTAGATAATTTGTCATATATAATGTCTATATGTCTTGATGACGTTGGTGTATATATTGTAATTGATCCATGAGTCAAACACATCATTTTAAAGTTATATTCATTGTAATATTTTCTGTCCAGTATACTTAGGTCCACTATATATATATATATATATATATATATATATATATATATATATATATATATATATATATATATATATACATATATATATATATATATATATATATATATACACATATATGCATACATGAATACAGAAACACACACACACATATATATACTATATATGTATATATGTACATGTATATGTATTAAATTATAGTTATTTAGTGTTCACTACTTATCTTTTCTTCTTTTACTATGCTGTTTTAAGTTCGTCATCCTCACATCATGTAGATTTCCCATCTTCTTGGCTATTTTCAGTAACATGAAGATTTGTACATAATCATTAAGAATACATATTTGGGTACGTTGGGTGAAAGTTTTAGATATTTTATTTTGTATTAATCTATTTCTTACTAATGGCTTCATTCCAATGGAATTGATATGTACGTGTATATGTGCATTCATTTTTTTTTTTTTTTTTTTTTTTTTAACAATTTCAAACCCTTTTTCCATGTTTTAATGTGGGAAGGTTAACGTTATGTTTATATGTATGTGTGCATTTATTGAACGTTCAAATATATCATTTTTGATGACCTGTGAAATAGTTTATATTTTTTATTTACGTGTTGTAATTTTGTTTAATAGTAATCAGGTCACTAATTGTCATACAATTAAAATGTGTGATTATAGAGATCAGTATTCACTAACTCATTAACACGATTAATAGTTAATGTAATGACGATACGAGTAATCTAAATTATCCATTTGAATTATTAAAAAAAAACAAAAAAATATATATATGTATATATATATATAGTTACCTTAATTACGTGTTACGAAAATTAACTGTAACTTTTGTAAGTTTGTTTAGGCGGAATTATAGATTTTATAGACTTTTTTTTTTTTTAATGAAACGAATAAGAAATAAATTTTTGATGCGGACATATATATATTAGATAAAATATACTGACGCGAATTATATTTCCTTTGAGATATAATTTCTTATAAAGAGACTTATTTTAACAGATTGCTATTGCGTAATACTTAAGCATTGTTTTAAGTATTTCAGTGCAAAGAAAAGAAAAGAAAGAAAGAAAGAAAGAAAGAAAGAAAGAAAGAAAGAAAGAAAGAAAGAAAAAAACGCTATCTACCTCTATATGCTATGTTTCATTCTATAATTAATATACCTGATTTAAACCAAATCTTTTTATAATCTCATTGTTTGGTGCTGATGTCTATATTTAAAAAGAAAAATTCTTCGGTGCGGGGAGAGAGAGAGAGAGAGAGAGAGAGAGAGAGAGAGAGAGAGAGAGAGAGAGAGAGAGAGAGAGAGAGAGAGAGAGAGAGAGAGAGAGAGAGAGGGAGAGACAGAGACAGAGAGGGGGGGGGGCAGAATATGAAGGAGGGAGGGGAGAAATTGAGATTAAGAGAAAGATCAGAGAGAGAAAGAGAGAGAGAGAGAGAGAGAGAGAGAGAGAGAGATAGAGAGATAGAAAGAGAGAGAGAGAGAGAAAACAGTAGAGAGCAAAATCATGTAAGAATGTAGAATTTTCTTATTCCTTTTCCCCTTTCTTGCAATATTTTTATCTCAAATTAAGCATATTATATAAAACACACGGGGTCCTCTCGCTTCCTCTTCTGTTTCCAATCAAAAATATGCTTTTATATATGCTTCCATTTCATCATAAGTCAGTATTGTCTACACACCAAAGAAAGGAGGTTCTTCCCAGCATTAATCTTTACTATTAAAACACAATTTCTCTCTATTTCACACACACACACACTCACTCACTCACTCACTCACTCACTCACTCACTCACTCACTCACTCACTCACTCACACACTCACACACTCACACACTCACACACACACACACACACACACACACACACACACACACACACACACACACACACACACACACACACACACACACACACACACACACATTTATGGAACAAATCTAAGAATTTCTAACATGAATATTCATGATCATTGTCTACGTCATACATGATAAACTGGGGAAAAATTATTATAAAACAGCAAAAAAAAAAAAAAAAATGTAATCGTTTTTACTGAGAGATTTATTGTAAAAAATATATTATTTGTTGCAAACCTAATGGAATTAAAAAGCATTTTATAATCATATTAATATTAATTATATCTTTATATTATGACTAAAATTGTATTCTGTGAGATAGTGCACGCGCGCGCACACACACACACACACACACACACACACACACACACACACACACACACACACACACACACACACACACACACACACACACACACACACATATACGTATTTCCAGATATGTATGTGTGTACATATGCATACATCATTGCATAATTTCACACTGCCACACAGATATATTACTGTAAAAAAAATAAAAACAACAACAAATATAGGAAGCTTTAACAAAGGTGATAAACCAAAGAAGAGAGTAATATATAATAAACAGAAAATACAACCCGTTCTTATGTCTTCCTGTTGTACAGTGACAATATGTATATATATATACTCATGGCATGGTGTAAACAGAATGTAAATAAATATTTATCCTTGGAATTATTTTGTTTTTATTTAATACCTTCTTTTTTTAATTCAGTTTAATTTTAATACTTGGATAATGTAAGACTGTATAAAGATTTAGCAAAATTATATATATGGATAAAAGGGAGAGAAGAGAGAGATGACGAGAGGGTAGGAAGAGAAGAGAGAGAGGACGGGAGGAAGGGAGAGAATAGAGAAACGAGAGAGAGAGAAGGAGAGAGAAGAGAGAAGAAAGGACGGGAGGGAGAGAGAAGAGAGAGAGGCCGTAGGGGGAGGGAGAGAGAAGAGAAAGATGGTAGGAAGGAAGGGGAGAGAAGAGGGAAGAGAGAGAAGTCAGGAGGGAGGGAAGGGAGAAGAGAGGGAGGGCAGGAGGGAGGGAGGGAGGGAGAAGAGAGAGAAGGGAGGGAGGGAGAGAGAGGAGAAACGAGAGAGGGAGGGAGGGAGAGAGAAGAGAAACAAGAGAGAGGGAGGGAGAGAAAAGACAGAAGAGAGAAAGAAGGCGGGAGGAAAGGAGAGAAAAGAGAGAGAAGGCGAGAGGGAGGGAAAGAGAAGAAAGCGAGGACGGGAGGGAGAGAGAAGAGAGAGAGGCCGTGGGAGGAGGGAGAGAGAAGAGAAAGATGGTAGGGAGAAGAGAGGGAGGGAGGGAAGGAGGGAGAAGAGAGAGAAGGTGGGAGGGAGGGAGAGAAAAGAGAAACGAGAGGGAGGGAGGGAGGGAGAAGAGAGAAGAGAGAGAGTTTAGGAAGGAAAGAGAGAGAGGGCGGGAGGGAGGGAGAGAGAAGAGAGAGAGGGCTGGAGGGAGGGAGAGAAAAGAGAAACGAGAGGGAGGGAGGGAGGGAGAAGAGAGAGAGAGAGAGTTTAGGAAGGAAAGAGAGAGGGCGGGAGGGAGGGAGAGAGAAGAGAGAGAGGGCGGGAGGGAGGGAGAGAAAAGAGAAACGAGAGGGAGGGACTGAGGGAGAAGAGAGAAGAGAGAGAGTTTAGGAAGGAAAGAGAGAGAGAAGAGAGTGAGTTTAGGAAGGAAAGAGAGAGAGAAGAGAGAAGAAAGAGAGGGCAGGAGGGAGGGAGAGAGAAGAGAGAGAGGGCGGGAAGAGGAAGAGAGAGAGGGTAGGAAGGAAATAGAGAAAAGAGAGAGGAGGGAGGAAGGGAGAGAAAAAGGGAAGCAATCGAGCAGCATTCACGTATTTTCTTTACCCTAAGCAAAATATCAAATAACATGTCTCATCTCTACTGTTATGTAAAATTGATAGTTTCATTAAAGCATGTTTCCAATTTAGGACAACAAAGGAAAATATCTTCCAAATATATATTTCTTATTAACAACAGACACGCTCTCTTTCTCTCTCTCTCTATCTATCTATCTCCTGCTCTCCCCCTCCCCCCCGTCCCCCCTCTCCCAATCACAAACATATTCAATCAATTGTCAGTCAACCCAAAGCAATTCTGTGACATATCTTTGGCTGCTGTATATGACATATACGAAAATATAAAACATCATAAAAATATATTACATAACGAAATATAAATATTTTCGCGCAAATCATTGAGATGAAATATATACTTATTGAATTAAATGAAATGGGGGTATGTAGTCCACTATATATTTCAGTCATAATCTTTTAATTATGACTAAAATTATTTTCTAATTTGGGATTGTTAACTCACACACACACACACACACACACACACACACACACACACACACGCACACACATACACACACACTATCTAGGAAGCTGATTAACTGAGGAAGCGAATAATAGGCAAATAGAAAACGGAATGCCTTAATTGACACCATTTTCTTTAGAATAATGTTGAGGGGTAACTTTTCTAGACCATGAATCTTTTACCATTATCGCGTTTTTCATCCTGAAAATAGTGAAAAATAAGAACTCCGAGCTAACATCTGAATCTTCAAATATATATAAATATATATATATATATAAATGAAAGACCAGTCAACCTTTGCTTCTGATTTGTAAAGAAAATAAACAAAGAAAAAAGACATCAACTAAAGATTCGACCCAGTGTTGTGAGGAGGATTCGAAACGACCCATTCGCGCAAGACTCTGATGGACATTTCTTATCCATGTTCCGTTTCCTGGTTATTTTGTACAGTCAGGCAATTGAATTAGAATGCCTTTACAATATTTTCCCTCGTGCTATTACTCTCTTATCCCCCTTTAAAATCCAAAATATAGATTTCCGTAACACACGCA